ACCGCGTCCAGGCGGGTCTGGAATATCTCCAGAGAAGGAGACTCCACAGCCTCCCTGGGCAGCCTGGGCCAGGGCTCCATCACCCTCAGAGGGAAGAAATTCTTCCTCATGTTCAGACGGAACTGCCTGTGCCTCAGTTTGTGCCCATTGCCCCTTGTCCTGTCGCTGAGCACCACTGGAAAGAGTCTGGCTCCGTCCTCCTGACACCCACCCTGCAGATATTTATAAGCATATATTAGGTCCCCTCTCAGTCCATCCTCGTAGCCCAGGTCATTGATGAAGAAGTTGAACAAGACTGGGCCCAGTACTGACCCCTGAGGGACACCACTAGTTACCGGCCTCCAACTAGACTCAGCGCCGCTGATGACAACCCTCTGAGTTCTGCCATTCAGCCAGTTCTCTATCTACCTCACCGACCACTCATCCAGCCCACACTTCCAGAGCTTCCCTAGGAGGATATAATGGGAGACTGTGTCGAAAGCCTTGCTGAAGTCGAGGTAGTCTTGAATATCTCCAGAGAAGGAGCGAGGGGGGTAGGGGGGTGTCAGGGTGGGGAGAACTGTGAACCAACACACCCACGAGCTGCCCACTACTACAGGTTGTATTTCACATACCGTGCCTGTCGCACGTCGCTCTGGCCTTCCTGACCGTGACCCAGCTCCCATACAATGGCAGCGCTGGCACCGGCCAAGGCATTGAGCCCACTGTGTTGAGAAGAAAAGCTCAGTTCTGCAAATAAGCTTGACAAGACGAAGCAGGTATGTCCTCCCGCCGAGCCGGAGAGGTTTCCGTGTCGCAGAGGGGCAGCAACCCCTGCTCTGTAACCCTGGCGGCGGTACCTGTGTGCCCTTCTGCTTTGAACGAAATTACTCCTTTTTTGGGGGAAAGAAGGGGGACCCACCAGGCTTTTCCGGGATCATCAAGGGCTCCTTTCCACAATTCTTCCACAAAATGCCGTTTTCTCGGTCCTTGCTAATTCATTAAAATCCCTACTGTTGGTTTAATCATGCACAAACCCACAGCAGAAAGTGGATTTGCAGAAAGCGGATGCACAAGGGCGCATTTGTCCCAGTTACGAGTAGAAGTAATAGTAAGGCTTGCTTGACCACATCATCAGGTCTCTGGTGACCTTAAGCACATGAACAAAATATAAAGGAAGACAGGTCAGATCAGTAAGAATAAGAAAGACTGAAAAAGGTATGCTGCAAAGCCATTGAACTGTCAAAAGCCATCAGATAAAAACTGCTCTGTAAGTATATTTGTACTAAGAGGAAGACAGAAAAAGATTCATCCCCTACTCAACAGAGAAGAAAATCTGTCGACAAATTCTAAAGAAAGCTCAAGTGAGTGGTGCCTTTGTTGTGTCCACCAAAGATCCAGAAAGGATCACCTGCCAGCAGATCACTAGGACTGGCGATGCTGAGAGCAAAATTCTCTTAGCCCAGAGCAGGTAAAGAGTAGATCAGGAGCACTCAGATAAACCAAATGTTTTTGGAGTGTTGGGGTCTAGTGAACGTGATCGAAAGGCAAAGAACTGACTGAATTAAGAAGGTGAAGAGATGCCGAAAGAAACAGAGAGGCAACTGTAAACTGCTGTTATCAAAGGTGGGACGGAGCCAGAGAAATACAGCTCGAGGAGTGTAATTAACTTAAAGCCCTGGAAAAATCCTGGTACAAATAATCTCACAAACTATTATTAGCACCTGGATGATAACCCGGGAGTGACAGCAGTCAACATGGATCTGTCAAAAATAAATCACGCCAGATAACTTGATTTTTCTCCTCCAGTAAGGAACAGGCCTTGTGGGTCGGACAGAGCCTGTTGTCAGTTGGATCAGGTTTTTGACACTGACATGACATTTTCATTTAAAAGTTAGAGAAATATGGCCTGGATAAATATATTACCAGGTCTATACAAAACTGATGGGATAGCAAGCAGTACTTCTGTCAAGAGGGGAGAATACATCGCTGGGTTCCTAGTGCCTGTCTTCAGTCTGGGGTTTTTTGTTATGAACAATGTAAATAACGCAACAGAGAACATACTTCTTAATTTTGCAGGTGACGCAAAGCTGCAGGGACAGAATTCAATTTTAAAATAGTCTCGACCATTCAGAAACATGCTTTTTTTTAAAAAATAAAGATATTCAGTAAGACCAGGTTGCAAGTGCAGTGCATTATACCGGTATAAGCCACCCGGTATAAATTGTCACTGCCTTCCCTCTCCCCCTTGCCACTCGTTTTCTCTCACACTGTCTCCTGCCAGCACGAGCTTTTCTGGGTTTATGTGGGTGACCGTGTGAGGAAGCTGATTAACATTACAATTATAATTCCAGAGGATCTATTTGATCCTACTTTGGTCATGGCGATGGACGAGGCGACCTGCTGACTTCTTGTTTTCCTGTGGTTTTCCGCTCATGAGAGAGAAGCAACACAGCTGGTATAAAACTGGACGTCCTGGTATGACTGATAATTCTTTGCAACAGCACAATATTGTTAATTCATGTTCTGATTGTGAGCCACTATAAATCACAAAGATCTGCTCCTCTGATCTTGATCTGCTGGGTGGCTTAGGCACAGCTCCTTCATTCGCTCTGTTTCAGTTTCTTCAAGCTTCTTTGAAAAGCACCAGGAAATTTGTGAATAAGGATTTAGTGTTATTAACTGAACGCTAAGCTGTTGTTCTTTGCTGTTTGTTAACCATTTCTTCCCATCCTTTCACTAGGTAATTTCGGCTCTTACTGAGATCCACTGTAAACAGATATATCTCCTATGTCAATAGAAATGATTCTCTAAAAGCAATAAATTCCCGTAACTAAAATGTTTGGACAGGAGCTTGAGGCTTGTTCTTGTATCTAACATGAGATTCATTTTTCTCTCTGTGGCTTCTTGAAGTATAAAATGGTGAAATCTAACATTAATCCATGAAGATATGCCAGGGCCCCGAGTGCACCAGTAGTCCTTACCCACCGAAGCCGCCTTGCATGGGGCTCCCGCTCGCAGATCATCTGCTGGGGAGCTCTCTGTCAGCTCTGGCCTGGACCCCAGTCCTCACCCAAGCTGTGCAGCAGGCAGATCTCTGTCCTAGGCTCGCCCCATCGCTGTTCCCGGGGCTTCCTGGAGTGGCCTTGGACCCGACTCGTCACCCCTCGTTTCTCTAACGACCGTTGGACTCTCAGCGGAACCCGCCGCTGTCCCCAGCCCTGCTCTGCTCGCCTGGCTCTGTGCTGTGGGGTTGTGCCCGTGCTGGCGGCGTCCCTGTCCCGACCCATGCGTGATGGCCCTTGGCTGCTGGGCTGCCTGCCATGGTGGGGCAGCCCCCATCCTGCTGCTCCCTGATGAAACGCAAAGGCAGCTTACGTAGTGTTGCTCCCGCGGTAAAATAAAACTCTGCGTCTTCTCTCTCCCTATGGTGTCATTTGCAAATTCCATCTTAAGTAAGCCTGGAAGTAAAGGCAAGACCTGCAGTCTTGTATCTGGTCGATACCATCAACAAGCATCAGAAGTTGAACTTTAAAGCAGAGGGACTAAAAGACCTTAATTCTTATTCGGAAAAGCATTTAAGCACGTGCTTAGCTTAAGCCTGTCCTCAGTCCTTTTGAATTTAACTGCATAAATTGAGACCTTTCCTCAACATCAAGCTGTATTGCTGTACTTTAGAAATGTGATTCTACACATCAGTATGTAGTTAGACCTGCAAATTTACTAGAAACCATGTGTCCTTATTGTATAGTTGTTTAAAAAAAAGAAGAAAATAAAAAACCCACAAACAACATGAACAACAAAGTAAAATAATATTTTAAGTCTTGTTTCTGGCAAATAACTATCCACAGGTATAGGTGAAGGCATCAGCAGAGTTACTGTAACAGTGAAGCTGTAAGATGTTGTGCACTTTTATGCACGAAGTAATAAAACATCCTAATGATTAGGAGTTTATTAGAGTCTTCTAGCTGATGGAAAACTAGATTGTTTGAAGTGTCAGGATGAGTGGTTAACCCTTTATTTATAACTCATAATGTATTATGCACAAACAGATGACCACAGCTTTAGGAAAAAAAATCCACTATATTGTGGGTACTAATGTAAAGTTGAAAAAAAACAACCACAGAAACTGAGAGGGGCTGTTATCTTAGTAATGGTTGGAGCTGGGTGCAACTGCCAGATCTCTGTCCTCTGACACCGGTCTGTCGGTTTAGGGCTGATGCATCTCTTCAAAGAGTAGGGTTTTATTCCTGTTTCTTGAAAGGAACCTGAAACATCAAGCGACTGTGTCTTGTCTGCTCTCACATAGTCTGTGGCAGGCAGGACTGAACCAAAAAACCTTCCCACCTCATCATATCTGTAACTCTTCCATTTTATCCTCCCCAGCCATACCATCTATATACCTCTGTCCTCTTTAGCCAATCTAAAGTGTGCAAGTACCTGCAAAAAAAAAGGGGGGAACGTTATGAAAGAAAAAGCTACCA